TAATTTTTTGGGAGAAATTAACAGCAAATATCCCAAAAGCAATATAAGTCTCTGTGTTTACTTGGTTGGGTCTGAGCGGCTGTGGGACTGGCGGGTGACAAAGATTTGTCCTGACTGTGGGCAAGGCGGAAAACTCTAGCTACACTCCCCACAACACACAATCCCCCCAAACTCCCCACACCCAGGGCTGAAAAAGTCAGTGAACTCTTCCTTGTTTCTGGGGCGTGGGCTCAGGCACTCTTGGGGTCACAGGTCCACTCCCTCTTCACCACTGCAGGCTGTGGGGATGGTGTGTCAGCCATGTGCAGATCCGAGCGGTACTTTTTCTTGCAGTCCACGTGCGTGCTGCTGCTGAGAGTGGCCCAGGCACTCTAGTTGATGGTGGTCCTCAGGTAAGAAGTGGCTGACTGTTGCTGGCCTGCTCTCCATCGCATGGCCTCCATGACCCCTTTGGGGTAGGCCCCGGGCTCCGCTCCCACAGTCTTGCAGCCAATCAGCCTATTGTAGCGCAAGGAGTTGCCTTCAGATTACTGGGGTCATCTGCTTCTTCCTCTTGGCCAGGAGTTCCACAACCATTCATTGAAGATGTGCAGACATGGCGGTGGTTCTTCTTGCTATGGTGGCTGGATACTTCCATATTGTAGAGTCAGGTCTACCTTCAGCTTGAGAAAATGATTTTCTATTGTGTCCTTCGTTCCTTCTCCTCTGTTATTCCTATGTACTCTCTTCTGAAATTTTTATTTTTATTAGCTATATCTTTTTTTATTTTATTAGCTATATCTTTGCTCCCTTAGTGAACATTCTCTTTTTTGTCTCTTTCTCGTTCAAAATCCCTATAAGTCTAAATACTGTCTTCATTAACATCTCTGTATTTTTATAGAAGTTCTAGGACTCCTTGACTCTGTCTTCTATATCCCTAACTTATCTTCAGCTATATTCGTTTCTGCTAATTTTTTTAAGTATTTTGTTTGTTGTGGCAGTAGTTTGTGTTTCAGATTGTGACTCTAACACTCAGTT